ATATAACAGAAACTAAAAAAACAAACAATGATGTATACAAAATCAAAATGTCAAGGAAAACAAAACTACGTTAAAAAGAGGTCATGAATTTACATTATGTACACAAATACTGGTTTAATAAACTAAAAACTGAACTTTATTTAATCTCATTAAAACGCGCAGCTTCTTTGCTCTCATGAAATACTTTACTGGACACAGCTTTCCCTCCCCAACATGGCGGACTTATCAACGCAGCAGCGTTTACGTCATCAGCAAGCGACAGCCAGCAGCTGCAGGGCCCCGAAATCAAAATAACAGACACATGCCGCAGACCGCTGGTGAGTTTTACTGGTGATAAAACAACTACTTTAACTGGAATCAGTTTTTCTGAAATACAAATTCACACGACGTGTTTGAATGTAAAGTTAAAAATGTAAAGTTAAAAATGTAAAGTTGTCAAACATCCGAGTTGTAAAAAAAAAAAAAAAAAAAAACACGTGCTAAGGAAGTTTTTTTAGTGGTTTCGAGTGATTACAACCATTCAAATATAAAATTCGCGGTAGTTTCACGTTGAAAATGAGGTTTGGAATAATTCTCGTCACAGTGTTCCTGTTTGTGTGTCTGTAGGCTTTTATTGGTTCTTATAAAGAACAAACAGTGGAACGCTTCAGCCAGCAGGAATGTCTCGTGTTGGAGAAGGTGATCCAAACTTCTGCCCAGAATGTGGGAACGTTCTTCCTCTTCCAGGAGTATCTGAGAGTGTTTGCTGCCCGCGCTGCTCCTTCTGCATCTCTGTGGCAGGTGAAGCCAAACATCAGGCAGGAAACCCTCAGAGCCAGGGGCGGAGCTAGGCTTTTCTGCTGCTGGTGGCCAAGGTGGTTTTTACAGAGGCCTTGAAGGAACATGGGGAGGGAGGGAGAGATTCTCAGTGTGTTGAGAAAGTAAGTCAGGATCCTGAGAAAGTAATGCTACATTCACACCAAACGCGTTGCGCGCCTCCAAAAATCTCAAAACGCACGCATCTTGATGCTGGACAGACGCATTCACAGACCAGAACGAGAAGCAGCAGCTGGGTGTGGGAGGAGCGTCTGCCCTCAGCGGTGAAATAAAGATAAAATAAGAAATAAGAAAATGGCTTTGATTTAATTACTAAAGAGCAAGCGAACGTTGCGCACAGCAGATTATTAACTCACCAGGGGTCGGATTTATAAAACTGGCGTACGCACAATTTGAGCCCAGAAACTTGCGTACGCCACTTTTCACGCCAAGGTTGTGATTTATAAAATCCAAACTTGACGTGAAAATGTGCGGTGCCTCACGCCAGCTCTGACCCATGTGTACGCTCATTTTGGAGACGTGAAACTGTGACACAGATGGTGAAGTGAGGAATTAGAGCCACACTGTGTAATGATCACTGTCAGATATTTAATTTACCTTCATCAGACTCAGATTTTTATTCAACTTTATCATCAGCTTTCTTAACAGTAATATTTATGCTTCTGCTGCTGAGCCATGAGGACCTTTGAAATAAAAAAAAACTTAAATCTTAAAAGTTCCCGTGCGCAAATCCCTACATCTACTTCCTCCTCAGACCACCCTGACCCACAGACCCCTCCCTGACCCACAGACCCCTCCCTGACCCACAGACCCCTCCCCAACAAGAACAGCAGGACAGCAAAAGTCATGCTTTGGATACACGCGCAGGGCGCATCCACCTCACCAGTGTGGATGTTATAAACCTTCACGTTTAAAGTCCGTATATGTCGTGCGTGCGTGCGTGCGTGTGTGTGTGTGTGTGTGTGTGTGTGTGTGTGTTTGTGTGTGTGTGTGTGTGTGTGTGTTTGTGTGTGTGTGTGTGTGTGTGCGCGGGGCGGGGGTGTCTGCCGCGGATAACACAGCAGGCAGGAGGGGGAGAGGACGAGGCGAAGAGCGGTGGACTTACTTTTAATTTGATCTGACTTATTTAATTTATTTTTTATTGTTTTTATCATCCTGCAGGCTCTGAGGGAAAATTAATTTGAAGCTGAGTATTTTTTTTTTATAAAAATCATTAGATTACTCTAAAGCAAAATGAGGGAAAATCTGTGTCAATTACAGACAATCTGTTCACGTGAGCAGCTGTCAGTCAGCACCTGTCAACCTACAGACACACGACAGAGCGTGTCTGAACCAATCACTGATCAGCTGACTGATTTAAATACATCTTAACATTCATGAGGTACTTTGCATTGACTGTTTATGGTTGAATGTGGGCGTGTAGAGGATAGAACCTGAGGTGGGACCTCGTGCGCAAACTCTGACGTGCGGCTGTGATTTATAAAGGAAAGGTGTGCAGAAACGTGCGTACGCACGGTTTTATAAATCTGAATTTTTTTTGGCGTACACCATTTCCGCCTTTTGGCCGTACGTTCACTTTTAGTATGGTTTCCACACAATCCTTTATAAATGAGACCCCTGGTGATTTAGAGGCGATTTGTTTCAGTTAGTTTCGCCACTCCAGAAGCTGCCAGCTGATGGAATTTTTTTTTTTTTTTGTCCGGACCAGCTGACCCACATCGGCACTTCTATATCCAGCCACAAAATCCAATTGCAGGTGGTCGATTTCAGGTAGAGATCTCCTGTTCGTCTGTTTCGGTTTAGTGGGCAACATTCAGGAAACTGTCACGRYGAAAAATGAGTCTCTCGGATTGGTTGATGCGACGCATTGAGCAGCAAAAGTCCAGATTTTCCACCTCACGCGGCGAACGCTTGGGACGGGGTGCGCATGCACTGCTTCGAGCCGCGCTGCTCCAAATGCACCAGACGCCCTGCTCGGCTATTAGAAACCCCTAGATGCACGTCCGCCATTGACTTTGCATGTAAACCAGATACTCCTGATGCTCAAAACGTGTTTAGTGTGAATGTACCATGAATCAGAATCCTGAGGAAGTTTTGCAGGATCCTGAGAAAGTAAGTAAGTCAGAATCCTGAGGAAGTGTCAGAATCCTGAGAAACTAAGTCAGAATCCTGAGAAACTAAGTCTGAATCCTGAGAAACTAAGTCAGAATCCTGAGAAACTAAGTCAGAATCCTGAGAAACTAAGTCAGAATCCTGAGAAACTAAGTCAGAATCCTGAGAAACTAAGTCAGAATCATGAGAAACTAAGTCTGAATCCTGAGAAACTAAGTCAGAATCATGAGAAACTAAGTCAGAATCCTGAGAAACTAAGTCAGAATCATGAGAAACTAAGTCAGAATCCTGAGAAACTAAGTCTGAATCCTGAGGAAGTAAGTCAGAATCCTGAGAAACCAAGTCAGAATCATGAGAAACTAAGTCAGAATCCTGAGAAACTAAGTCAGAATCCTGAGGAAGTAAGTCAGAATCCTGAGAAACTAAGTCAGAATCCTGAGAAACTAAGTCAGAATCCTGAGGAAGTAAGTCAGAATCCTGAGAAACTAAGTCAGAATCATGAGAAACTAAGTCAGAATCCTGAGAAACTAAGTCAGAATCCTGAGAAACTAAGTCAGAATCATGAGAAACTAAGTCAGAATCCTGAGGAAGTAAGTCAGGATCCTGAGGAAGTAAGTCAGAATCCTGAGGAAGTAAGTCAGGATCCTGAGGAAGTAAGTCAGGATCCTGAGGAAGTAAGTCTGAATCCTGAGAAACTAAGTCTGAATCCTGAGAAACTAAGTCTGAATCCTGAGAAACTAAGTCAGAATCCTGAGAAACTAAGTCAGAATCCTTAGGAAGAAAAAGTCTGGATCAGTTTTCATTTAAAAAAATTTCCCCTATGTCCCTTTACGGGCTCGAGGAGCACATACAAATAAAGAAAACTGCTCTTGATTTGAAAATTCAAGATGGCTACCACAGCTAATTTCAAATGTCTGTAAATGAACAGTATTAAATAATATTGAGCTGAAATCATGCAGTATTGTAGCTAAGAATGATCAATAAAAAACAAGTCCCAATGTAAGCTGATCACTAATGTTAGTTTTACAAGGAGATATACTTCTTTAGATAAACAAACCTGAGAAGTAGTTTGGTTATATAAATTTAACACTTCATTTCTTATAGTGTGTGTAAAAGTACTTTTACTTTTCCGATTATCATGAGCAGTTTTATGACTTTTAAGTACTTTTCCTATCAGGGAAAATAATTTTACCAGTCATTTTCTGTTGAGGTATTTTTACTTTAGTTATTTCTTTTAAGTACTTTACGTATAGCCTATCTCTGTCTTTAAATGTGGATGTCGGTTATGTTATTCCCTTGTATTATCAGTTTTTTTCCATCTGTTTTCAGAGTTTTCTGAACATGAAGTACGGTCAACGGTGGTCTTCAACCCTGTGGAGGAATCGTCGGTGACTATTGACGATGATGACTCTGAGCTGAAGGGGCCTGTGGTAAGACCATCCGCTGCTCACAGACACGTGATGCTAACAGCTTCTCACTGCCAAAGAACTGTTCAAATACATGCAAAGGGCTTCAGTGAGAAGGTCATGAACAAAGAATATCTTACCTGTTGTAGATAGCTTTTTGAATACGTTGGAGAAAGAGTTTAATTCAGACTAAATGTGCAAGTTAACCTCAGGGTTTCAGATGGTGCTGCTTTTTAAAACTTGCTAGCTGCTACGATGCTAACGTTGCTAACAGGAGATTACTGCTTGTGTCTCATCAACAGAAGAAGTGCTTTTTTTTTGCAAAAATAAAGATGTGTCGTCAGCAGGAGGGTTATTTATGTTTGTTTGATGATTTAAAGGTTTTTTTTTTTACTCCCAATAGTAAAAAAAAAAAGGCTGTTAATTTCTACGCCTGCAAAACCACTGGATTTCCTTTACTGATCCAGCAGGAATATGATTTTCCTTATAAGGATGCCTGGGGCTGCAGAGGAAGTGCTACAGCTAGCTGCTGCCGGTGTTATTTGTGCTTCAAATAACCACAGAGCTATGATTTTTTAAGATCAATCCACTTTAGTCCTCACTCAGAGCAGCTGTTAGTTCAGCAAACCGGTCAGAATTAAACTCTTTCTCCATAGAGTTTGCTCAAAGGGCTACCTTCAACAGGTAAGATATTAGTTGTTCAACAAGAACTTCCCAGCATCTGAGCCGTCTCCTTAAAGAGGCCCTCTGCTTTGTGTAGATTGACCGGCGCTGCTCACGGTGCAACAAAGAAGGCATGGTTTACCACACACGGCAGATGAGGTCTGCAGACGAAGGACAGACGGTCTTCTTCACCTGTATCCACTGCAGGTGAGTTGAAGCTCCGCCTTTCTGTTTTCACTCCTCTGTGGGATTGTTCTGCTGATGGTTTGCTTCATGTTTTAGGTTTCAGGAGAAGGAGGACTCCTGATTCCACCCCCCCACCTCTCCCTGTACGACCTTGAACCCCTAAAACACAGATTAGAAGCAAGAGTTGAACACAAGTTTTCTGGTAATTTTCTGTTTGTAATGACAACAAATCATAGATCTGTTCCAAACTAGTTTAAATCAGCTTGTGTCTAAGATCAGTTTCAAAATATTTATTAAAGGTATCATTTTATAATTGTTCTAAACTTTGTTTTACAAGATATTTTACTATGAAGAACAGACTCCAGCACAAGTGTTTGTTTTGTAGCTGAATGAATTAAATGAGTTGTGACCATCAAATGCCATTGGTTAGAATACACATTAAAGATGTCCTGATGATTCCTGTATTTGTCTTGATTTTACCTAAAATCAGTATGAATGTCTGTGTGGTTCTGAAACGAACAATGTATTACAAAACTATTACAAGTCTCATGAAAGATTACTGCAGTTGAGCTGCGACATGTCCAGTAAAATGTTTTTCACACATTCACACTCCTAAAAGAAAAGCATCAAAAATAAAAACATCCTGCAGCCCCCACCCACAAGTGATGCACAGCTCTGATTGGCTGACAGTCTAAACAGGTTGGACTACTCTTCATAACATTACCCCTGGAAATGTGCATTAATTAGTAAAATGGCTCCATGTCTGTTTTTGTATAACCATACTTGTATTTCTATATAATTTTTTATTTTTACTCGGACTACACTTGTTTTGTAACTCAAATATCTGAATTTTTTCTCTGATTTATGTATATTATATAGTACATTTGTGATGATATGTTCCTCGACAACAGGTGTAAAAGTTAAAATAAATACCACAGAGGATATTATTACATATTTCAAGTCTTTATTTCTTGTAATTTTGACTATTATGGCGTAAAAATAATTTGAAAACAAAAATTCATGTCTCAATAAATTAGAACATTACATAGTAATTATTTGACACGCTGAGATTATTGGTAATAATAATTAAATTAACACCAGGCCTTTAAAATCTATTTGTCATCTTTCGCTGTCTCAATAAAGTTCTTTTAAAAACACCAGCGACACGAACCAATAAGGAGGCGCGTTTAAGTCACGTGATTTAAAACATGGCTGCCTTATCAACAAGACAAGCGATGCCGCTGTTTAAATGAAACAAGCTTGTTTCTTGAGACTTTCTGGTAAATATTCCCGTCTCAGTCTAAAAGTTTTAAACTTTCTCACCGATGTTTAATGTTCAGGAAATGTTTCCGGTCCCGTTTCATTCAGGTAAAGTAGTTGAAACACAGACAGAGACTCGGAGACGTGCTGTTCCTGTTTCAGATAATGAAGCTGCGAGTCCAGCTGCAGTGTAAAAACCTGCATGAATACCTGAGGGAGCTGAGTCCGGAGGTGCTGGACAGACTCTACAACCACCCAGCGACATGTCTGGCTGTCTTCAGGTAAGAAGAGGCGTTTAAACATTCAGTTGTTATCCCGCCGCCTGAAGTAGCGTTGAGACAAATAAATAAACAAACAAATCATTGAATAAAGCTCCAAATAACGAAGAGATCGACACTAATATTGTTTAGCTTGGTGGTGAAGTAAGGAAGTTATGGCAGCTTTAATCTCGGGAAATTTGCTCAGGTTTTCCCGCAGGTTTAAGATTGAACCCCCTGAAAACTTGTGATGATTTTAAAACAAACTAGACCTGGGTTTTTACTATGTAAAAACCAGTGTGCGCTGCAATGCAGCTTGGCTTTCCCTGCAGCATGATCTGTGACCAAGTTCAATTTTGTTTTCTATACCAGCTTGTGCCTGTCATGTCAGCAGGTGTTTGTAATTAAGGTAATTTTGTGACAACATGAAGTTTGAAGGGATTTTTTATTAAAGTTGCTGTAGCTGGGTTTTGAATCCTGATCTCCCACATGAAAGTCCATAACATAGACCATTAGACCATTGAAGCTGTGGCAGAAGGTGGTGCCAGGGGTTGGTTTGTATGTGTGCAGAAAGAGGCCACATTGCCAATACAATTATTGACACTAAACTGCAATATATTGCAACAATTGGACAATATTAAGACAGTA